TATTGTATATATAAATTATACATTAAAATACATATATACAAAATATTATAATATATATTATAGAGTTTGAAAATTTTCTCTAAAATCTGTGAATTTTTTTAATAAAAAGAATTTAGCTTACTCTTTAAATTCATTAGATTGGAATCTCATTTTAAAGAGTAAAAACTGAAGACAGACTTAATAAAAAATAATTCTGACTCTTCAAAGATTTTTGCTCTAAAAATTTTAAAGAATACGTTTCAATTCTTGATCAGAAGAAATAATTTAATGGTTCGCACAAATAACAGTCCGTTAAAATTGATGCAAAATACTTTTAAAAAAAATAGGTATAATGCGTTTATATATTATTTTATGATTTAATCATACAATTAGAAATAATATTATTTTAATAAAGAAAAAAATAGATTGTAATGAGCTAGAAATACATCATAAGTAAGTAACATTTCGCTAGCGATTCTAATTTTCTCTTCTGTTATTAACAGCAAACTCAGATTTCAGCCTCTTCAGGATTTCTTCCCGTTGATACATGACCTCCCTGTGACATAGTGGCGAGAACGCGATTGGGCATTCATACTGTACGGTCTCAATGCATCTCGTATCTTCCACGCCATGCACTTCGAATCTGAATTGCGAAATAGACTCCACTAAAAAGTATATAAACAGGCCGATTAGAATAATATTAATAATCAAAGCTGATAGGGCTCCACCGCAATACAAAGCGTGAAAGACTAAAATATGTCTACTATGAACGTGCGAAAATATCTCGTGTAAACAGTAGAAGATTCGCTATCAAAAAAATTAAAGACATGAGAGACCGTTAATAAAGCTTTACTGCTAATAAATAATCATATTTCTCATGCATAAATAAATTAATTAAATATACTGAATACGAGTTAAAATATTTTGATCTTGCATATATCATCTTCTTATAACCATTTTTTATTTGTTCTTGTTCTAAATATTTTAATAAAATTTCTGAAATTATTGATCAATTTTTTATCTGCGTTAGCAATTTATGCGCGAATGATTTAAGTGAGGAAAAAGTGAAACTGATTGCATAGACTGATTTGTGAGAGGCGGAGTAAACAGAATTGCAAGCGGTGTCGACTTACAACAGCCAAAGTCAAGGAAGAAACAAGTCAGATGTCTGGAACTGATGACGTAGCCATGGTTGTCCGGTTTAACGGCGTAGTACCCGTGCGCTACGTTACGGATCATCGGTAAATGACTTAGATGTTCCGTATACCGTACGGAATATTTCCAGTGGTCGTAATTCCCGCCTTCGTCGAGCACATTAAAGTCCTCTCTATATCATGAATTCAAATAAATGAATCAGAGCTTACATTCTTGAATCTGGCTGGTATTATTCATGTAGACCGGTATTCATAGTCGATTCTTATTTCAAGACTGTCTTAAGTAATGTCTTAAGACGCTAATGCGGTCCTCTGATTGGTTCATGATACCTGAAAGCTAAACTTAAGATAGTCTTAAATATAGGATCTGATTATAGTCATGAGTATAGTGAATACCGGCTATAGTTATGTTTTTATATATGAGAATCCTTTTTAAATACAGTTTCAAGATGTTATAAGTCAATCATAGGCCGGTAGTTCGCTCTTATATTTAAGATCGTCTTAAGTATAGTCTTAATGTTATGAACCAATCAGAAAACCATATCAGCACCTTAATGGTACTATTTACACATTTGTCGTACAACAAAGAATTTAAGTTTATTGATAGATTATAGGATAGAAAGATTCTGACAATACCTCTTAATTCTTATTGTATCCAATCAATAGGTTTGAAATGCTTTGTCGTACATTAAATATAATACCAGCCTAAGACATTACTTAAGACAGTCTTAAATATAAGAACCGATTACGAATACCGGCTATACCTGGTTTTTATATTTAAAACCGACTTAAGTAGAGTGTTAAAAAATCATGAATCAATTAAAATCAAACATAGCCCGTTCTTATTTTAAGAAATATCTTAAATAATTCAATTTATTATTAAATTTAATATATAATTTTTGTAACATCTGGAGACACGATAGTGTCTCGGCGTTAAGACATGGCCGTTGAGATTGCCTCTTTTTTATATAATTACCTTAATAATTTAAATTTTCTTATATTGAACAAACTTGCAGGCAATTAAAGACAAAAATTTTTGAACATAGATCTCACATCTGTAGAAATACAATTACCTATTCTATCATTACGGATCATAGATTGTATTACGGTCACGATTTTTCATGGGAAGACGTAAAAATCTTGGATGTGGAACGTAATTTTAATAAGCGGCTGGTATCCGAGATGATTAATATCAAACAACAAAATAATAACATTAATTTAAGTACAGCCCGTACTTAAATAGTACGGACTATACTTAACGTAAAAATATGCTACTATAGTAATAGTAGAGAGAAATCTGAGAGTATTCCGGCCTTTTTCGTGTACCAAATACCTCGTAGGGTAATGTTCAAATTTTTGTGATTCTTTTCCATTTATTACATGAGTTAGATAAAGACAAACAATCAAAGTTGATTAATTTTAAAAGACACTTATTTTATGTTAACAAACAAAAATTATAAATTAACTTATAATATATTATTTAGAATTTGTAGAGTAAATAAAAATAACAATTTTATTTTATTCGCGGCGAAATGAATCGAATAACAAATAAATTCTTATTCCTTATTCAAAGTAGATTAAATAACAAAAAAATATATATTCATTATTTATAATAAATATTCATCATTCAGAAGTGGCTGAATAACGAATATTTATTATCATTTAAGAAAAAAGCGAATTATGAACAAATTTGATTATTCATCAAATTTTTAGGTGTGCGAATCAAACATTTGCAAAGTCGAATCGAATCGAATCGAATCGAATCTGCGACATGTTCGAAAATGAATTGAATTGAATCTGAAATCTTTACATAGAATCAAATTTTCACACACTGACAACTAAAAAAAACTTAAAAGCTGTGAAATTTATCTTGAATGCATACAAGTATATTAAAAAGTTAATAATGTGATATAAATGTATTAAAAACAATACTTTTTGGTAATACCTATATGTTGAAAATGACTCATTTTCTCGTTTATTTAAAAAGATCTGGACCAACATTGAAAATACTTCATTATTTTTTAAATTAGCTTTTATTTATAGTCTATTTATAGTATATAAAATATCACATTAGAACATAATAATTATTGATAAATTACACGTTTTTGATAGGTATTAAAATAAAAAAATGCATTTTAGAGGGGATGAATAATTTATGACTAAATTTCTGATCAAAATTTCAAGATAACATTAATCTTCTTTATAAAAAAATGTCAAATATCGCAAAAAAAAAAACAATTTTTTACGTATTAAATCTTAATTATCTTATAAACGCACGCGCGCATGAAGATTGGTATACTGTATCAACAAGATTAGTCACAGGAGATAAAGGAGAGAGAGAGAGAGAGAGAGAGAGAGAGAGAGAGAGAAATGCTCATAAATAAAGCATATAAAATAGACGACGAACCATCAATGATTCGAAATTTTGAACTTATTCGATTACGAATCTCTCAGATTCGAAAACGAATCGAATCGAATCCACTATGATTTGATTCGATTCAAATTCGAACTAATTCGCACCCTATAAATTTTTTTTATTTATTAACGAGATTATTAATCTCTCGTCAATCATAAAATATCGATCATATCTATCCCTGATTTATAGTATACTCTCTTTTTTTCTCTTCTTTTTATTAATACAACATTGATCCTTTTTATTTCAAGATATTGTCTGATTCCTACTTACATTGTTGGATTTAATTTTTTCATGTTGCTAAAATCAGCCACAAACTCCCATACTAGTTTGGGATCCGACTTATTTATGATGCCCTCGAACATCACTTGATGTTTCTTCTTATAAACAAATAGTATATAAAGAAGCAAAGCTCCTAGAATGCTGTGCAAAATAGATCTCGTTTTCCATTTCATAGGATTGAAACTCATCTTCTGTGTGTGTCAACAAAAAGAAAAAACTAATTCAAACTAGGTCAATTCTCTTTCTCGTGTGTTAAAACATTTAAAACTCATTCGCATTTTGTCTGTATCTATCAATTTTTTAAATTTTTGGTCAAAGATTGTTAGACTTTTCAGCATTTACTTTTTATAATATTCCTTCAATAATTTTTCCCCTTTAACTCTTTCAAAAAATTATTTTTCAGAATTTTGATAAAATTTAAGAAATTATTGCATTATGCAAGGACATATCAATCTTGAAAATGAAATTTCAGAAATATTATCGAATTAAACACGTAATATTATTCATGTTTTTGTAATTACAATTATAAAAGACGTAATATACATTAATTATAAAGATACTATATATATTAAATACTATAATGATATTAAAATATATATATATTTCGGAGATGTCTATTTTCAGATAACGTGAGCGAAGCGGACGGAGAATAATACATTTTGTATTCCAAAAACACGATCCCTTTCAGAAACAAGATACAATACGGAATGCAAGAGTTCAATGTGCCAAAGCGATATTACACGAGAATAAAATATTTTTAAATAAATGAGATTTCGCTGTTGCGCACTTACCGCTGTTGCAAGGATCGTCCGATTGGCGCAGGTTCGTAAATACTTCCGGTTGAAAGTTATCACCCCGAAGTTCGGAAATGTCGAAAGAGAGCGATAGGAGAAACCTCGCCGGCGAGATAGCGACTCTGTCACGCTCCGATCCCATAGTCCCACACTGGATCTCGTCCGGTATTTTTTTTTTCGCTACGCCTCACTACGTCACAGTTTGTATGAATGTAGATGTATTCCAGGGCCGGCAATAGATTTATCTCAGAAGTGGCGAGTAAAATACGATTCCTCAACGCGTCTCGCAAAAATCTGGCCGTATACATCACAGGAAAAAATTATTCTTGGGCAATATATATGACAAAAATTTATTTCAGATTTTATATACAAAATTTTTTTATAAACAAAGGATGATCTATAAAATTCTCTATTTTCGTCGTCTATGTGACAACGATGTCAACTTGTTCTTTTTTGTTAAGCATAGACTTTTCGTGTGCCAGTAGCAAAGTGTTCAAATCACGGAACTTGGACATGAAATTCAAGTTCAATAATCTCACTAAGCCGTTTTGATAGCCCGTTGCAAGCCATAGATAACTCCACGCATTTGGATTCCAAGCCATCTAAAAAAATATTTAAAAATGTATTATTTCCTTTTATTATATAATATATA